ATAGATGGATATATAGATGGATATATAGATGGATATAACTGCTCGGTGTATGAACTTCATTTAAAGAATAATATTTTCATAGACCCAATCTATTTCAGGTAAAGCCAGTTAAAGCTGCAATAACTACAGAGCAGTTAGCAGAAGCAAAGTCTGCTTGGACAAACCCCTCAAAATTATCATGTGATGAAAAGGTGTCCAGGCAGGGCCCAGTGGTGCCAGTAGATGGAGAACATAATGTTCTCATTACATCAGCTTTGCCTTATGTTAACAATGTACCTCATCTGGGGAACATCATTGGATGTGTACTCTCAGCTGACTGTTTTGCCAGATTTTGTCGCTTAAGAGGGGACAATGTTCTTTATATTTGTGGTACTGATGAATATGGCACAGCTACTGAGACTAAGGCTTTGGCTGAGGGGTTGACTCCTCAGCAGATTTGTGACAAGTATCATGCCATCCACAGCAAGGTTTACCAGTGGTTCGGTATCAGTTTTGACTATTTTGGCAGGACTACCACTGAACATCAGACCAAGATTTGTCAAGATATATTTTGGAGCTTGGAAAAGAATGGAAAGATTAGCAAAGATTCAGTTGATCAGTTGTACTGTAGTAAGTGTGACCGTTTCTTGGCAGACAGATTTGTTGAGGGGGTTTGTCCCTACCCTGGCTGTGGCTATGAGGATGCAAGAGGTGATCAATGTGATGCTTGTGGTAAGTTGATCAATGCCATTGAACTTGTCAAACCAAGATGTAAACTTTGTTCTACATCCCCTGAAGTCAGGTCCTCTAACCATCTCTTCCTGGACTTACCAAAGATTGAGAAGAGTTTATCAGAATGGCTTAGCACGTCCTCAAAACAATGGACAAATAATGCCAAAGTGATTTGTGACACCTGGGTAAGGGATGGATTGAAAACTAGATGTATCACAAGGGACTTGAAATGGGGAACACCTGTTCCTCTAGATGGATTCAAAGACAAGGTCTTTTACGTTTGGTTTGATGCACCTATTGGTTATGTTAGTATTACAGCTAATTATACTAATGAATGGGAGAAATGGTGGAAGAATCCTTCCCAAGTTAATTATTATGAGTTCATGGCCAAGGATAATGTTCCATTCCATAGTGTGGTATTTCCCTCTACTCAACTTGGAACAGGGGAAAACTGGACTATGGTTAATTATCTTGTTGCAACTGAATATCTGAATTATGAAGACGGAAAGTTCTCTAAAAGTCGAGGAGTAGGGGTGTTTGGTGACCAGGCCATTGAAACAGGCATTCCTAGTGATGTTTGGAGATTCTATCTGCTGTATTTAAGGCCAGAAGCACAAGATACAGCTTTTTCATGGGTAGATCTTCAGACTAAGAATAATAGTGAATTGCTGAATAACTTTGGCAACTTCATTCACAGAGCTTTGTCCTTTGTGTTCAAGTTCTTTGAAGCAGCCATCCCCGAAGCCAAACCGGATGAGTCAGATTTTATGTTGATGGCAGCAGTAAATCAGGAACTTAAGCATTACACAACAGCTTTAGCCAATAATAGGCAGCGTGATGGTCTTCGGGCCATCCTGTCCATTACAAAGATTGGAAACCAGTATATTCAGGAACATGAACCTTACAAACTGGTCAAACCCAATCGGACAGAAAAAGAGAAGGAACGTGGGGCATCTGTCATTGCCATTGCTGCCAACTTAGTCTGTTTAGTGTCAATAATTGCAGACCCTTACATGCCAGAAATAGCCAAGAACATCCGTGGGTTTTTGAACCTCTCATCACAACAGACTCGCCTACCTGGTCACTTTTGTTGTCTGTTGCCAGCTGGTCACAAGATACAGGAGCCCAAACCCCTTATCATCCAAATTGATGATGAGACTGTGAACAAGTTTAAGGAGCAGTTTGCAGGTAAAGCCCCATCAGAAAAGAAGGCAGCAGATCCAGCAGAGATTGCAAAACTTGAGGCACAGATTGCAGAGCAGGTAAGATAGGAGACCAAAGCTTTGTCAATTATGTCTGCTTTAAAATTTGATTAATTTAGGTATGAAACAACAGATATTAGACATTGTACAATTTGTTTTATTAGATGTTATATTTAAACTATTTGAAAACTTTCCAAAAAGTAGATGCAAAGAGAAATTTCTTAGAAGGTAAATGATTTAATTTTCTCAACTTTTAAGAGTGCCAAAGTTCGCAAGCTGAAAGAAAGTGGTACAGCCAGTAAGGATGAAATTTTGGCTGAAGTTACAATATTACTTAGCCTCAAAGGTCAGCTGGCAGCTTTGCAAGGAGTAGATCCAGCTGCAGGAGGGAAAGAAAAAAAAAAGAAGAAGGGAGGAGGAGCAGGGAAGGAGCAGGCCAAGGTTCCTCCAGCCTCCTCTTCAGTTGCTCCAGCTACCATTGTAAATCCAGCTGAGGTAGAACGGCTACAGGGCTTAGTGACAGAAAAGGTATGGATTATGTTATTATTCACTTTTTCATTTCATGGATTTTGTACTCTCCTTACTTTTTATTACTATCTTTTATCGTTTTACATATTAACTAAATTTTGGTCTCCTACAAAGGACATATTTGAACATTCTTACACTTCTACACATCTATTTTTTCTCTTCATTACCCTACCATTCATAATATATCTGTTTGTTACTATTTATTATGAAAAGAAAGTTGATGGTTATCAACTTCATGTTTTATATTACTATTAAGGGAGCCGTTGCGCTCGAGAATGAAGTGATTTTTTAAAATGTTAGACACATATAAAGTGATAAACACCACCAAGTTTCATATCAATTTGATAATAGATAATGAAGTTATTCAAGAAAAACAAGTTTTTGAACAATCACAAAATTTTTAAAATCACACTTATCCATTGAACAAACTTGTTGAAAAAAATACCACCTTTACTCTATAGCAATACCTAAAACTTGCAAACACCGTTTTTTTTTTTTTTTTCCTTTTAGTTTAGTGGGAGTTTATTTTATCTAAATGTTCAGTCTTATGAACATAAGATATAATATATGGACTTCTATTACCTAAAATAAAATTTTTCTTTACAAAACCATTGCAAAATTATTCAGCTTTCAAATGATCTACATCCCATTAGAATTGCCCAAGTAGTTATGGAGATTTTAGAAAAATGCTGACAAAAGTGTAATTTTAAGATATTGGGCTCCGAAGTTTAGGATACTTTTCCGTCATTTTTTTTTAGACTTCTTATCTCTGCATCAATCTTGCTGCATTCTATGGCATTCACATGGTATTCTGAAGTGTACCTGGTACATGGTACATGCAAAGTATTAATGGCAATAACTGCACATGATTGTAGAAGTAGGGCGTGTCATCACAGGCTTCGCATTATATATATATTTATATATATATATATATATAT